ACCAATGATAGAACATAGAATCCGGAACTGCTCGAGACATTTCATACAAAATAACATCTATGAGCTGTCAAAAACTAAGGGTAGAAGCTCCACAAAGAATGGGGATATCGGGATATCATGGATATATGTATTGAAATGTACACCTCAAAGGCCACCCCAACAAGTTTTTCGCCGTACTGAAAATGATTATATAAGGTTCTATTGACCACAATCAACCCCTATAAAAATGGGACTTATCAAGTCACTTTCTGGTTGAGGGGTGATTTTGGGACAGGATTCACGTCCAATTCTTGACTTTTTCAACTGCACCTCCAAGTAGGTCAGTAGGTTGTATACCCCATTAAATCGCCATTAAATCCCATTAAATCACCATTAAATCACCATTAAATCCCATTAAATCCCTATTAAATCCCATTAACTCCAATTAAATCACCATTAAATCCCATTAAATCCCTATTAAATCCCATTAACTCCAATTAAATCACCATTAAATCCCATTAAATCACTATTAAATCCCATTAAATCCAATTAAATCACCATTAAATCCCATTAACTCCCATTAAATCCCATTAAATCCCTATTAAATCCCATCAACTTCCACGGAATCAGCATTTTGCGGCTTAGATCACCATTAAATCCCTTCTAAATCCATTAAAACATCACCCTTTTTTGGGTGAAATGATCCATCACCCTGCATCGGCTCGCGCTCAAAGGGCTGGCGAGCCAAAGTGGGTAGCTCGCCGGACGTAGGGTGCGGGTGGCCAAAGGGGGAACGTCCAGCGACTGGGAGTCAGGAGGTATATTTTGAAGTTATTATAGAGTGTATATATTATATAGATATAGCAATATGCAATTACATGCAGCTACACATATTATGACAATTAATGCCATATCATATCATATCATATCATATCATTTCATATCATATCATATCATATCATATCATATCATTCATGGTATACAGTCAACAAGTAGACAGTTCGCATGTATTTTCATGTGTTTTTCTCTCTGCGATAATCTAAATCAGCTCCCTATAGGATACCGGACCAGTTCTCGTTGAAAGCGTGTGATCGTCGTCGACGTCCAGATGTTCAGCATGGATTCTACGTGGCAATAGACCCAAGAATAACACAGCTTGGAGTCTGATTAGCCTCTGGTAATTTAACATAGCGAACTGGAAAATCACCATCTTTAATAGGTAAATCAACTATAGATGGGCCATTGTCCATAGCTATGTTAAATTACCAGAGGGTATCTTGGAATGTTTGGATCTGTTGTTCGGGCTTTGCTAAATGGTTTCTTCACCTTATGTCATTCCCCACAACACTTGGGATATCTTCAGATTGTCTTGCTGGTCCGTCCGAAACTGAGGGATTTAAGCTTAGGGGATATACAATTTTCAGACAAACCTATATATATATATATATATATATCTGAGTAAATTATAACGACCTCACTACGACCTCACTGCGACCTCACTGGAATCATGGTTAGTAAGGGGAATCATCCCCAAATGGCCTTAATCCAGGTTAGTGAAATATTATAATTTGTCCATATATATATATTTATACTTGGAATTTATGTATTTTTCACTGACATGGTTTCACGTTTATGTTTGCATGCTAAAAAGGGTCTGTCTCCCTTGCTGCTCTGTGGTTTTAAATACAGAAGAGAAAAGCCTGCTAAACTGAACATCAAACCCCAAATCTATGGGGTCTGGCAGATTAACTGATTACTGAATATGGCTATTTTGGTGTTCCGTGAGAACTTTCCGGTTCCATATATATATATATACATAAAAGTATATATATATATATACATATGCACTCATATACATACATATATATATATATATATATATATAAATCCCCAGTATCATCCCATGATGGAATTGGACATTCGCCATGGCGAGGAGTGTTTGCGGTTCGGCGTTCTTTCCCAACGACGAGCCAGGTGGGAACCGAAAAAGGACGGATCGGACGGATCAGATCGCCATGGCTTGGGAGTTGGAGTACGGACATTCAGTATATATAATGTATATATGTAGATCTATATGTCCAATGTATATATATATAGCTATTGAAAATGGTGATTTACAGTGGATTTACCCATTGAAAATGGTGATTTTCCCATCAGTTATGTAAACGTTTTTCCAGAGGGTATATATAATGTCAACCCTGGATTAATAAACCCTTAGGCTGTTTAATTGGGGGTACCATTTAAGTATATATTGGGGAAGTACCCCCTAATTAATCAACTATGGTTTATTAATCCGGGGTTGACATTGTGTATATATATATATATGTGTGTGCGTGAATGTATGTGAGCATATGTGAGCCATTAAAAACACCTGGTTGATTGGTACATATTTGGTTAATATCGGGACTTTTACTACTACCTAATTTATTCCTGTTTTATGATAACCCATAATAGGACAACTAGTATAATGAGATGGGTTCGGGGTAATGACTTTTGAACGGCTCATGTGATGCAATTGACTGTAGATTCGCGCAGATCTAGTAGAGATTCTATAGTTGGGATCTAGATAGTTGAGATCTACATAGTAGATCTATATATTCTCATATAGTGTGTATATATATATTCTCAGATCTATGTATCAATGGATTGGTTTCAGGGAAAATTTTACATCGCAACATCGGGACGGCCGAAAATCGCAGGTGCTCAGTGAGCTGGGCCGCTTGATATCCGTCAGTACATGTAGATCCTTAACTGTTAATCAGGTATTGCAATAGATGTACCAAGATTTATTTACTATATATATATGCGATATATCTGTATATATATATATCTGTATATACTAGTATATTATGTGTACTGTGTATATATATAGATACAGATATGTACACCATGAGTAGGAACATCATGGTGTTCCAGTGGCATGTGCAAAGATTCTGCAACAAAAAGAATAGTCCGTGATCATGGTGAATCCGCGATCATAGCACCCTGTGGATGCGCAAAGATTCTGCACAAAACATGTCTCTATGGCTGCATTTCCTGCAGCTGTGGTTTGGAACCCACTAAAGTACCTTGAATCCTCAAAAGTTGCTCTTTCTCAATGGGAAATTTGTATATATATATATATATAGATAGACAATATCATACATGTAGGTATGATAGTCAACTAATTAGGCATGATTGAAAATGGCCAATCCCTTCATTTTCCAACCTCTGAAATTTTGCAGTTCATCCGGTGGAGTTTCACCATCCGCAGGCAATGGTTCGGCGGGTGAAAATAGGGGGGGTGCCGTGGGTTTACTCGCCATTTCTGGGATTTCAAAGGCCATGTTTGAGTACCAGGTAGCCCTCCAGTCGACTGGAAGTTTCACCAGGATGGAATAGAATCCCTTTTATGGCAGATGTTGTATGGTTATGAGTCAAATCATTTTTTTCGCGATAGTGTCACATACCCATACTGGATTTTGTTTGGATTCCCTGGATTGAAGATGTTTGTTTTGAAGGACATGAACTGTTGATTCAAGGTGTTTTCTTCGCATGCGCAGGAGAATCCCTTTATGACAACAATAGATCCTGACAACATTTTGCCCAAAGTTTCTTTTTGGGCAGGCCCTGACGTTAGAACACTCCAAAGGGAGCCCGGGTTTTTAGATATGATATAGCTGAGATTTATGGATGTCACCCTCAAATAATAGCCATTTAGAGGTATTGGTGCATAGTCAAATGGGTGTTTCCAATGGAGGGTACGCTCAACACGGGATGACACACCCCACTGATTGCAAAAATCGACCTGTGAAATGATACATATGTGCATCTATGCATTGAACTATACATACTGGGTCTGTATGTGTATATAAAATCATATCCACATATACATATATATACATATATATAGACACACATGTATATACATTATATATATACATACATACATCTACATCTACATCTACATCTACATATACATATACATATACATTGTAGATATATATATATATAATACATACATTGTTTATAAACACTTTATATATATATATATACATGTTACACTATATATCATATACATTTTATTCTATATATTTATTACATACACAATGTATGTATATATATATATATATTCTATGTCTTTAGATACACAATATATTTATATATTGTCTATATGTATGTATTTTGTGTATATATATATAATGTGAATGCGCATATGCACACAGCACGTTCCCTTGTTTGACGTTGACAGCTTTGCCACTACACCGCATCCGCGACGCGTCGACCAACACTTGTCGTTCCGCTCACAGCCTGGTTTTTCAATTTTTCTGCAGCAAAGATTGGTAGTTGGTTGGCGAGTTTACGGACATATAGCATGGTAAAGAATGCTTAGCCATGGCTGATAGTGCTTGATAATTGTTAATAATAGATAAGGCAACTGGTGCTCAACCCCATCCCCCGGTCGTACACCCCCATGGTCAATATTCGTCAATGGTCCCAAATAGATTACCCTCTGGTAAGCCAACATAGCTATTGAAAATTGCTTTTATAGTTGATCTACCTATTAAAAATTGTGTTTTTCCAGAATTACCAGAGGGTAATAGATGTTTTTATTCTGTACGTAACCGCATAATTCCTTGGGGTTGGGATTACAATGGTGGGGATATCTCAGTTCCCGGAGGCAGGAAACCCAAAAAAAATTCCTGGTAAACCCACCATAACCCACCATTTCTTGCGTTGCTTTTCCCTTGAACCATTCCGTTGAAAATGGTGTGCTCGAAATGGGTGGTTTTGAATCCCCTAAAATATGGGAGATACCCTCTGGCAAACTAACATAGCTATGGAAAATGGCCATTTATAGTGGATTTACCCATTAAAAATGGTGATTTTCCATAGCTATGTTAGTTTACCAGAGGGTATCGTTATTCTACATCCCAAACTGGTTCCAAATGTATGTGTTTGTTGTTTCATCCCCATTTAAGAGATGATTGTACAAATAGGATTATCCAGCACCCTGGCCGCCTTTTCAAAACAGATTCACCGTGGTTTATATCAACCAGGCGTAACGCCGGCTGCGCAGTCGCTATTGCCATGGCGTGTCAGATGTCGAAGCATCGCATAAGCAGGTGCAACGCCGCTGGTGCCCCTGGTGGATAAAGATTGGTGAATGGCTATGGTTCAGCCATAACCGGGACACTAATCCCTTTCCCCACTCCTATTAAACAATATTAAACACCCCCCAATGTATCGTCCCAAATATGTGTTCTTATCTCTAAACCATGCTTTATTGGGATATATCGGGGCTGTTTAGGGGAAAGGATTCTTTCGAAGGGTTGGTTGAGGGGATTCATTGCATGTTCGCGGCCCATGAGGAAATTGATTGTAGGGTGAAGGGATTGTTAAAAATACACATGACTATATAACAGAATATATATCCCAATTTCATGAAAGGTATCTATATCGATTGTGTACTGCTGGGTCAACATCGGTCTTTCCAGCTATTCCAGGAACAAAAATCAGAGAAACTGTGATGTACGCAGTGGACTGTTGCTTGAGAGGAGCGATGAAAGGACACATTTATGGGTAAGTAGCCCATGACTACAAACACTTTTGTATTATATGAACATCCTGTATTCAAATATATCAGGATATATGATTCAGTTTCTGTATCCTTTACATATGAACAAAGAAATATCAGGATACAGAAACTGGACACCTATCGGATTGATGTCAGCTTCGGAGAACCAAAACAAGCTCCAAAGATCTCCCTAGGATGGTTCCCTACAATGTTTCGAAAGCTTAAGATACTTAAAAGGCGTTTATTTTTACGTATGATATATCAATATACGATCCTAGGGAGCCATGTTATAATAACATGTTTACAATATACCATCCTATGATATCTGAAGATACTTAAGATGTTTATTTTTACGTAAGCATTGTTTTGACTTATGATATATCAATATACCATCTGGTTATGACTAACATAGCCATGGAAAATCACCATTTTTAATAGGTAAACCATCTATTTCTATTTGCCATCTATACCATGGCTATGTTAGTCATAACCAGAGGGTATATATGGTGTGTTATCCCAGTTTTTTCCATCCTGATCATATATGCTGTTTTTTCTGGTTCTCTACAGATTGTTTTCCGGCAAACAACCTTGTTTGTTCACAGTTCATACCTCCACATATTACCCTCCGGTACTTCAACATAGCCATGCTTTCCATCGCCGATTTCGTTCGATGATTTCCGTGAAACATTTTAAGCGACTTTCCATGTCGCCATGTTAATCAGAGGGCTTCACATAATCAGAGGGGTTCCCATTGATATCCCACGATATTTGTTTATTTTTCAGGGCTAAATCGCCATTTTTCATTGGATGAGTATATGAGTTGGGCGGATGACCATCTTGAAAAACCTCCCCACAGGCCGATGACAAGCTGGTCAATCCCAGTGGCTGGAGGTGCCGATTGGACCAACTTCGCTGGTGGTTTCCCGGTGAAAAATCACACATGGCAATTAAAGATCATGGTATTGCCTACAAATGGATATAAATGGTGGATGAGCTCGATTTACCAATATCTGAACAATTGGTATTTAATGGACGGCAATTGATTGACAAACATCATACGTATAACTGGAGCTTTCATGGGAATTTTAAGTCCTATCAATGGTGGATTTTCGATTGCCAGCGGCGACCGGAGGGTTCTTACATCAGGGTGATGTATACCGAGGTCATTTTTCGATAATTGCTATATCCCATAGGATCCATGTATGCTATATATGGTAACATTTACCATCAATATACCCCAAATGTTAGAATATATGCCAAACATGGATCCTATGGGTATTACATTGCCAGAGGGTGGCATTTTTTCGCAACTTGTGTGTTTTGCTGAGCGCGGTAAATGAATTCTTGGAGATGCAGTTGCACTAAGAAGTAGTTACACAAGTTACGCAAGCGTAGTTCTAGATAGTTGCAGGGGGGTACCCTTTGGTAAACTAACATAACTATGGAAAATCACCATTTTCAATGGGAAAACTCACTATAAATGGCCATGTTCAATAGCTATGTTAAATTACCAGAGGGTATATCCCAACTTCTGGGGCTTATGAAAATTGCAATGGTGACGTACTACTATGTTTTAACCCCAACATTTCGCCCGGCCACGGGATATTGGCCATGTCTGACTGGATCATGTTGATGCATCCCAAATTACATGTTGCTAAGATGTGGGAGTCATCGGATCAAAATAACGTTCGGAACACTTTTCCGCGACATTTTGGCTTGGAAAACACACCTGAACTATTGTGAGATTTACAATCTTTCATGGATTACATTGTTAATTGCTGGTTGCTTACCCTCCCAGTAAGCGAAAAAAAACTTGGAAATTCATGGCTTTCCAGAAATGGTCAAGAAATGTTTTTTTTTCATGTGTATACATACATATTATCTGGTTGGTGGTTTGGAACATTTTTTACTTTTCCATATGTTGGGAATAATCATCCCAACTGACTAGTATTTTTTCAGAGGGATTGAAACCACCAACCAGATTATATATATATATATATATATGATATTTTGTAAAAGCTGTATCCTTGTGAATAACGCACTTCTTAGCCAACAACATTCATGAACAAAGCATAGCCCCGGTCACCTCCAGGTGTGTCCTCCCCACGACGTAGCGGATATAGCGGATGCCCCGGAGGCGAAAGTTCTACCGGTTAGCCTCCAGTGATACGGGGTTTCCACAAATGGATATACCCCAAAATGGATGGTTTATAATGTCAACCCTGGATTAATAAACCCCAAACGGTTGTTTAATTGGGGGGATACCATTTAAGTATCAGATTATGACTATTTGGGGAGTACCCCCCTAATTAATAAACCATGGTTTATTAATCCGGGGTTGACATTAATGGAAATCCCTATTTAAATGGATGATATAGGAGTACCCCCATGGATTGGAAACCTCCATGTGAGAAAATAGCTATGGAAGGTATGGGACATGGATGAACATGGCCCATTAATAGATGGTACAACCCTATTTTTGAGCCCATTTGAATAGCCAGTAGCTGGGTTGATGAATCATGATTGACCAACAAACACAGGGAAATTCACCTCCGTTGTGAAGGTATAAAAACAGATATGATGGGACATATGAGACATATGCATATAGAATCCTGGAGTAGATATTAGAATATGGGATTTTCAAAGATGGTCCCATCATGTCCCATCATTTTAGTGGCGTTGTTTTTAAATCCATAGTCTGTCTACTCCAGGATGACTTTAGAATCAGCTTAATAATGAATTATTCGGATAAACTATGATTTATCCAGATGGTCGATGAATCTGTGTAATTATTCTGTTTGTGACTGTTCGTGGCCATGCGTGCATATCGTATCAAGACATACTTTACTTCGCGTGGTCCCCACTGTGCATGGTCTGAACAGCACTGCTAAAACATTTTTATAGTTCACCCCTCCTCCAGTGACAGGCACTGCCACAGTATTTACACTGCCACACAATACCAACAGCTCAATTACTCAATCACAACTCGGTTACCGCAATAACTTCGCATGTTTTGGTGGATACGCGCGGATGTTATCAACCATTGATGGTGGTAGTTCCTCGCCGATCCTCTGGCTGCATCCCATGTGGCCGCACGTGCCTTTGCTCCGATCGGCGTGTGCTTGGCACCTTTGCAAATGGTGCCAGTCTGCTCTCTATATGCTGACAGCCGCCGAAAGTTGAGCGAGTCTTTCTCAGCTTTGGATGAAAGAAAGCATGAGCTGGCCTTCATATGAGATCACAACCCTGCAGCAAGGGGTCGGCGAGGAGTAGCCACAAAATACTAATATGAACTTGAGCTCCAAAATATGGGTTGGTATGTAACACCCATGTCTGCAGTGTTACGGCAGACTTCTTGGAATGGAACCTTTGTCATTGTCTTTTGTTGAAGGTGGCGTCATAGTTGGTCGAGGAGCTTGACGTACATACTGGGAATGCTGTTAAAACTGGGTTTTTGTCGCATGGAAAAAATATTGCGGTTTGTTGATTTGTCTTATGCATTAACTCTCTGGTGTTCTATGTGAGAGCAATGGCACAGTGGAAATAAGACCTGGAAAACAGTTGACCCATGTGATTGTTGTGAAACTTTAGTAAGAATTGAGGGGGGAATACGGATTCGAGGGATGTTGAACTGCGCCATTTGCCTCCTGTCAGTGTTTCTGAAAAAATATATGTAGCTGATAATTTCACATTATACACACCTTTTTTAAATTTTGATGTTCAACGCATGATGTCAGGCTCACGGATCGTCATTGGCATCCTTCTGCCGGCTGGAAGTGCTGCGTCAAGGAGGCCCAATGCGCACGTGGACTTCCAAAAATGTATGTCTAAAGGTGCAACGCAGAATTAAAAATATGTAGCATGTGGATTTACATGGCAAAAATAGGTTCAGCCCATTTGGAATTGTCCCAAAACGGTGATTTTCATTTGAACTTACACTAAGAGGCAAAACGGTTGTTTCAACTATGCGGTATTATGCGGTTGGGACATTGCTGCTTCTTGTTTACGATTTTTCATGCACATATAATTATGGACCCTACCTCGCAACAAACAAATCGGTGGATTATAAGATATGCAGGGCATGGTTGGCATCGTATGAGGATGACTGTTGACTGATGAATGCAACATTATGAAACAGTATACCATAGCATACTGGAACAATTTGTTTGTCATTTGTAGAATATTAGCGTTATTTTTTGATTTTGTTGTATGGAAAATACACCATGCAATTTGGAAAAAATAATCAATATATAATTTTGAAATATACATTGATACAGGCAACAAATTTACAACTATTGTAATAAATTGTTTTTCAGATTGTAAAACCATGTTTACGAATTTTTGGCCGGGTTATGTACAAGTATACCCGTCATATTTCTCCTTTACTGTAAATTCGTCAACATCAAAGTCGTCACTATGATTGGAGTCGGTTATGGGATAGGTAAAATAATCCAGAAAATGTTTGAAAAGACCCGAGAGAGAATTTTTGGAAGGTTTTGGTCATTTTAAACAATCGTAGGAAACCATGTTGTTTTATGAAATTGGGCAGGGCAAAAAAACCATTAGGATTCAGCCATCCCCCCCTGTTCGGCGACCCCCAGATGCTAGATGGTTGATATTGTTGATTGAGTCCCCATAAAAATCATAAAATCCCATGGAAATGTTCAATTTTTTATTGAACACCATAGATCTCCTTAAAATCCCCATAAAATCCCATAGATCTCCTGAACTCACCATTTTTGTTGATTGACTCTCATGAAAATCCCTTCAAATCAGAGAATCCCAACCCCCAAAGCCCCGGCTGTTGGTCAAATCTCTGTGTCGAAAAAAACGGCGCCAGATGGATCTTGACTCGAAGAAGACCTGGAAATCCTCGAGCATCTGTAGGTCGTGTGTCAGTCGAGGCCGGAGTTGGCGCGATGACCTTGGAACCATTGGAACCAACCACCAGAAATGGTGCCTGGAGCGTGTTCCCTAACTATTGTAATGAAGAATCCCTACCACCATTTGGTTGCTTTGGTTACAGGAGGTGATACAGTTAGAGGCAGAATTGCATTCTGGATTGTATGATATGATATGATTTGATTTGATATGAAATACATATATATATATATATATATATACGTATATATATATATATATAATGCTATATACATTACACAGCAAGCGCTGACAGGCGTGCCCTCTCCATAAAGTGATTCTATTCGCAAATCCCAAATGGCTTGCCTAGTCGGAGTTCCGTGGGGGAAACATACATATGTATATTTTGTTTTTTGTTGATACATTCCAGTCCCATTTTTGGGATTGTGTTATCCCATGCGGTCCATGATTGCAACTAGGGGGCTTCCTGTACACTATAGCAGTTATATACCTAGGAGTACCTGTAAATCCATACATGGGGATTTGCATTAAAGATGTTTTGTGTGTGGATATCATATATCTATTATCATCTATCCCATATACAGTAATCTTTGCAGAACAGAGTTCAGTACAAATTTTAATAGTGCAACCACGCTGTTAGACGGTTCTGTTGGGAGAGGCATAGGTAGGCACACCTAGGCGCACCGTAGCAGTGCCTACGGATCCCAGGGAAAGCAAGTTTTTTGCATTCAAGGCGCACCTTTCGCCTCCCACTGGATTGCAAATGATATTATATTTAATATACATTAAACTATCATTTTTAATAATATATATATATGTTATATTCTACATACAGACACATTATATATACACATGTATTGCGTATCATAGACGTCCCAGATTTCCTTCAGTTTGTTGATGGCCCCACGCCCGCGGCAGGAAGCCACCGGTGTGTCGTTAGCAAACGAGGATCAACCACAGGTGGGACAAAAGTTGGGCGCACCTCGTGATGATTTGAAATGGTGCGGATGATTATCCTTGGAATCCTTGGGGATTCAGACGAAATCTGGGGATTTTGAAGAAAATCTTGGTTCCTGAAGGTCAAATGTGTCTTTTTTGTAAAGAAAAGAACAACTCCAAATCCAAAGGGGATAATTGCGACCATAAAGATCCAACAAATGGTACCATCATTGATAACCAGAAACAAGCTGGTTACCAGAGTGCAAACAACAGTTTTGTTGTTTGAAAAGATGAGATTGTGACAAAATCATCCCAATGAACAAGTAAAATGTGGAACGAAGAGATAGAATGCAGACAAACAAATGTGGATCATCGCTTCCAACAACCGACGTCTTTGAGGTAAGCATGGCTGGTATCGCTGTAATCTTCGGGGTCAAACTTGCAAACGACCTGAGATTATGTTTATTGTTTGAATGAAAAACACGTTACCCCCAACATCAATAAAATATGTGAAAAAAAGAACATCCCGGAATTCCATGGGTGCGACAACGATCGTCCTTTTTGAAAATTACACATTTGTGATGTGACCACCACTGATGTATTTCCTCCCGCAGCAACCGGCCATGTGATAGAATTGAAGTCCATCCGAGTAGCTACTGCAAAAGAGTCGGACATTACTATCAGGGTAAATCTAGTATAACCTCTAATTATATATTTTATATAGATAATGAGAATATAGAAAATGATAATACAGTGTATAGAATTATAGAATAAGTAATGCATAATATACATACATATCATATATATATACACATACATATCATATCGTATATATATATGACAGATACTATATGTTTATCTTTGATTATGTTTCAATTTTAGTTCAGGTTCTGCAGGATGCTGGAGATTTTCTACTGGCCTGGAAACCTCCCAAAATGTTGCTTGGCAGGGGGAATGTGAGCTCGAGAATGTTGCTGAATTATGATGGGGTAATATTAGTCCTTCCAAGAATCATGAATCCTCTAAAAATGGCACGGCTGAAAATGATTCAGTTTTTTTCTCCTGGCTTGGCATTGTCAGCTTCAAAGTTGGATATGTTGATTTACGAACACTGTTGTCTGGTCGGTGCAGCAGTTTCTTGAGCCATGAGTAGATCATTTCTCATCTTTGGTGCACCCTTGCGGCATTTGAATCCTTGAGAGTTCTGTTTAGCCTGGGACTGGAACCCAAGCAAGAGATTTGCCAATATCAATTGCTTCAGGAAGTCCCTTAAAAATGCGATGGCTAGGCGAAATGCGGCTGCATGTTTTCCCTTAAATCAACGGATGATTAGTCATCGCTTGTTCACATCCCCACTACACCCGGGAAGCTGGTGAACCTATCAGTGCACCCTGCTTCCATGACGGCTTTTGGATCCTGGCAAAGCTTAAATGTTTGAATGACCAGCAAGCTAAAGATATAAATATGAATTTTCAAGTTGATCAATATCCAAAGAGTGGTTGAAACCTCAATTACAATCCTATCTTGGAGCCATCAAAAAGTGATTATTAGGTGTGCAAGGTTTTGACCAACAACCCTATGGTTTTGTCGGAAATATACCCGAAAAATGCAGTTGTGATCCTGAAAATGATGATTGGCCACTCGAAATTTTGGTTTAACCTAAACTTTCAGATAGACACATAAATACACAAACTATTTTGTGGTTGTATATCCCATTGATATTCGTTATATCCTCATAAAATGATGTTGTGGCTCCAAGGTCCATGAAGCGCCCCAGGGGCGGCGGCCACAGCGACTTCGAGGCACAGTAAAGCCACTTACCAGTGCTTTTTATGGTAGTTTTTATGGGGGTATTCAGTCCATAAATGGGGTGACTTACTGACTTATAACATCTTATAACTGGTATTTCGGGCCATAGCTGTAGATATTGAGCTGTGTCTTATAGGAATCATGTGGTAACCCAATAATAAAAAAAAGCGAGCCCAAAAATCACCAAATTCCATGGGTGGTTTGTTGACCATCCCCAAACGGTAGGTTTGTTTGTGGCATTGGGTTTCCCACATTAAAGGTTTAAACGGGGCACTAGGTGTTTGGGCAGCGATTATAATGATTATATACGATTATATATATAGGATCTTGTGGTGTTAGTAACTGTTAGGTAACTGTAGGATTTGAGATGATTGGAGCATGATTTGAAGGATTTGAGGGATCGGTGGTGGTCAAACTTGAAGGCTTTGCAGCTATGTTTCAACATGTTTTGACTCGAACATGTAGAACATGCTAATTTCACAAACATCAAGGTGGATTTAGCAACAGTTTCTCATCATGTTTGTGTTACCAACAATGATATTTTTATAACAAGGATTTATTTGACGACTGTAGATGGAGAAAAAAACAATCCCGGAAGAGGCCAACTAAGAACAACTCCATACCCAAAATTTTAATGTCGGACATGATCGGAACATTGTGTCGAAGATTGAATTTTTTGTCCACTTATGGTAGCACAAGTTGACGGATTGAACAGCGAAAACATGAATAGCTTACAATGTTATTCTACTTTTGGTCTTGAGCAATCGCAGGGGAATGTAACTTACTTCTTTCAAACCAGAAAACGACAAATTGAATTGGTGGATGGGGTATAGTACTATATACAGTGCCTATTTGTACGAATACCAATGTAATACAATATAATAATATAATATACTGTGATATATTTAATAGATGTAGAAGAGAATAGAATTATGTATATATGCTCAAATGGGGGCGGGGTGCATTACACAACCAATGCGAGGGAAAATATCAACCCAAAAATTAAACAGCAAGTTCCACATCCGTTTTCTTGGCAAGAAAGGTTGTTTCAAGAGCCTAAAGATAATGTTTGCAGCATGTCAAATCTGATAGTTGCACATACAGAATCAGAACGTGTAGATACAAATATGTCAAATATGCATATAGATATGATTATCATATATACATGACTATAAGTAGCCCAAAGATCAGGGCGCATGGGCTCCACCCCGTGGATTTTCTCGTGCAAAAAAAGGCAGCGGTCTTTCCAACTAAGCTTGGCTCAAGGCCCTGGGAAGATGATCAAACAAGGCGCCCACATCTCAACAGTCAACTGCGTTGGAGCCTTGTGGCTCACTGATTCATGCAAACTCAGGGCCCAAGCACGACACGCAAAAATGGCAATGTTTAAGTGGTTTCAATGTGTTGGAAAATCTGACTAGGGTGTCAACTTCGCGGCTGTTGGTGATATTTGTATTATGATATATGTTCAACATGTTTTAGTTCATGGAATCCATGTCTTGCTTGTCCAATCCTTAATTGATACCCCTTATTCTGACATGAACTGAACTCGCCATCTCTTTGGTCACCCTAATGTTTGCTTAAAACATCTTCACACCCCCTGAAAATTCATAAGTCATATCTGACATATCTCTGAATCCGAAGAAATGATGGCTGGTTGGTGGTTTGGAACATGTTTTATATTTCCATATATTGGGAATTTCATCATCCCAACTGACTTTCATATTGTTCAGAGGGGTAGGTATACCACCAACCAGATGAGGTTTATTGGGATTGTCTGGGGATTTTATGGGATTCATAAGTCAGATCTCTGAATCCGAACAAACGATGGTATATGGATGTATATGGCCCTCATTGTTGGTATGGTCTTGTCCTGATGGCCGTGCGGCACGTGTGGATACGATGGAAAGTCCTGCTTCGCAGGTGGGAAGGCTTTGGTTTGGCTGGGTTCAAACCACAACAAGAAATGGCCCATTTATAGATGGATTACCTATTAAAAATGGTGATTTTCCATAGTTATGTTAGTTTACCAGATGGAATTTTAAGATTCAACCAGCAAAACTGTGATTTCAACTACTGTAGCAAAAACAGCGATTCAAACACAACAGCGGGTGTTTAAGCAAAGACAATGAATTCAGCCTGCAGGGATTGTTTGTTTTGTGTACAAAGATGAGGATACAGTCAACACAGATCAACAAAGTAGAGTGATTTAGCCAATACTGGGCATACAGCCCCCTATAACATATAACGGTATTCCAGTTGGTGGATTGTTGGTTTCAAGTATATAACAACAGTTCAAACCGCTGCTATCAAAATCGCAGTTTCTGCAGATTACCCACCAGACTTCACCAGAAGCGATTCATGGATTGGCTCCATTAACCCAGCACCATGTATTTGGTCTTGATGGTGGTCAATGGTGTGTTAATGGTGGAGCCAATATTATTTGGGATAGTGGTGCAATCCCAAAATTTGGTCTTCGACGTTTGACGACTTTGTTTTTTTTCCATATGGGCTCCAGAATTCAAATTGAAACACTGGTCTGCGTTTGATAAATTGTGGGACGCTTAGTAGTACGACGAGGGTATAACATGAATTGCTGCGATGTTATGCTAGTTTGATCAAAGGTAATCATAAGTCAATCGAAAACAGTCAGGATGGTTTCCAAAAGGAAGTGCTCCATTATTTGGATTCCTGATGGTACTCCTATTGGGTGATAGTGGTACCGTTTTGGTTAAGTGGTATGTTTGATGCCACCAGTACAGTAGATACTCACCTTATTCAATCTGTCCTTCTTTTGTGAGAATGTCCTGAAGGCAGAATCTGTCGCAACCCCTATACTGGCTCTATGCTCTCAATACCAAGCAACAACAAGCCATTGAGCAAACATGAGCGATTATCAGCAAATATGAATATATATATATATTATACTAAATATATTATATACTATATATATATATTATATATACTATATATATATATATACTATATATATATATATATATACTATATATATTATATACTATATATATATTATATACTATATATATATATATATCTTACATTATATTATATATATATATTAATTATTTTATTATATATATTAAATAATATATATATATATATATTTATATATATGCACACTTGTCAAGTGGCAAAGAACATTGGCTTCCTGGATGCACCTCTTGGAGATACCAAAGGGGCAGTGGTATATCACAAGTGACTTCTGGAGGACTTCACTTGTCACGTCCGGGCGGCGCTGCTTTAAAACATGATTTGTTCTTATTATTTGTGTGTTCTCCTTCTGCATGTTATTGATTGCTTCTTCTGCTTCTTATTGTTCTTATTTTTGTTATTAGTTGTTTATTATTGTTATTCCTCCTTTTCTTCTCTTGTTTTTTTTTCTTGTATATCATATATATATATATATTGCCCCTGCCATGTGCACCGACTTTAGTCTTCAAGTGACTAGGCGTTTAAAGAGTAAATTGTTACTAAACATATTTACAGTCAGTTTCCCAGCGTAACAATGAAACCTGATTGCAATCAAAAATTGGGCATGTTTTTTTCCCAAAAGGTAGATATATTTTTTGACGACCTCACATCGCGAGCTCACTGGAAATGTTTAGGATCGGATGGGTATCCCATCCCCAACCGGTTTTTTTTGCATCCGCTGGTTGAAGCCTGGTGTTTGGTAACAAAGATCTGGAAAATACATACGGTTTTTGATGATTGATGATCATAGTGGGATGATCCCAAAGATCACTGGTATATTAAAGACCTGGTGTTAAGATCCACTGGTTTCTGAGAACTGAAATCATCTACACATGGTTTTTTTTTCGAAAAAGTGAGAGTGATATCCCTGACATGACCCATTTTTATAGCTCCATGGCAACTGCTGAGGTCAGTGGTGATTCTGGCGGCACTAGCTCTCAGGGGTTGGCTACAGCGGTCCTTCTGCCAAAGTTGCAGATCTTGTTTCAGGCGGAGCATGGGGCATGGGGATGAAGTCATAGTCGATGTCCCAGATTTCCACTTGGTGAAGAAAAAGAGAGGTCAAAACTGATTCAAAATCAATAAGCAAAGTGTGTCACATGTTATACCAAACCGGTGCCTTTCTTTCCTCCCGAAAGGACGCCAGGGATCAATTTGGCAAGCACCGGAGTGTTGGGGTGTTCACAAGCGCGTGATAGCACGAGAGTACCAGACTTGACTTTGACCAACATCTGACAATTCCTTCAATCTTCTTGGGAGACTTCTCTTTGAAACCTCTTTTGTTTGTGTTCAAAGTCATGCTGGCCACATGATGTGCCAGCTTGCTGAAGTGCTGTCATTAGAGGAACGTTGGACCCATAGCCGCCATAGCCATGAACCACACAGGACAGGATTTCTCTGGTAGAAGGCAAACTTTGTGTCTGTCTACAGTATACATGTTGAACACATGTCACATACGGAGTATATTTCGTGTGTATATGTTATAAAGATACATATGTTAAGATAGATATATATATATGTAGAGATATACATATTATACATATTATTAATATTGCTGATTATATATTATATATTATATGTATTACTATTATTTATTATATTTATTATTATATATTATATGTATTATATATATATATCATAGAGCGTACATAACACACATGTCATACACACTATAACACATATACACTGTATATGCACACTGTACTACCATATTTGCCCTTGCCGGTATTTACTGCCATTATGGTGATTCTGCAATGTGAAGATGGGCAGCTCAAATGGAAAGATACCCTCTGGTAAACGTTTACATAGCTATTGAAAATGGCCATTGAAATAGTGAGTTTTCCCATGAAAAGTGGTGAAGTTCCATAGTTATTTGTATGTTTACCAGAGGCTACTTGTTTCCTGATTCCTCTATATAGAAAGACAACACTACTTGGAGGATCATCCCACTTGGTATGTGGTTAGTGACCCTGGTTAGTAAGTCCCCTCCGATCCTCCAAGTAGATGACGGGCTGACATGAATATGCTGTAGTTCATCCAATGATCAATGAAGTTCTTCATCCATGAATATGTTATTTATGGAATTTGGTTACCGTAGTTACACAGTAGTCCATTCTCTTTCCATTGATCATACATGTTGTATTGCTCGAAGTTACGTCAACTTTGAGGTTTGACATTCCGCCAAAATTTTGAATCAATCATCCCACAACCACCAACCAATTTCTTGTCACCATTTCTTGAGAAAGTGGTCTTCTTCGAGGAAAAAACGGTTTGTTTCAGAAAATTTGCAAAAACACATGGAGAAAATCCATGAAAATCCATGTTCAATCCCAGACGTCGCTAACCATCTACAGGACAACAAGCCCATATATATTTCTAGTTGGTGGTTTGGAACATTTGGATTATTTGTCCCATCATATTGGGAATGTCGTCATCCCAACTGACGAACTCCATCATTTTTCAGAGGCGTGCCGAAAAACCACCAACAAGATTATTATTAACCATATAATAACCATTATTAACAGTATATTACAACCAGTTGATGGTTAAAATTCCCATAATGGTTCACCATAACCACCAATGAATAGAAACTCTCCATCTAACTCCTAGCTTTGGGGTTGACAAAAAGCCATATATAACATATAATAAGCATATATTAACCATTCTTAACCATCATTAATCATATAATAACCATATATTAACCTTATTAATCATATAATGACCATATATTAACCATTATTAACCATCATTAATCATATAATAACCATATATTAACCATATATGTGGTGTTAAATCATGGTGAAAAATCCCGGCTTTTCAGCAGATCTCCCCTGCCCGGCAGTTGTCTCCAGGCCCACCCCGTGCACCGCCACGCCACGAACGTGTCGTTACGCCACGCCCTTGGAACTGTTGGCCTTGCCGCCATTGGAGACGTACACTTCGAGCCTTGGAGAAGAGGTTTACACATCAAAAATGGGTATAGGATGGGAATAATATGGTTGTAATCATGGTAGTTTACGCTATAAAAGGTCATAAATGGGATTATAAATGGTAGTTATACATCTAATTATATATATATACACATCATATATATATATAGCCAACAATGGAATGATAGATGGATGATCATAGTGGGATGATCAAAGAAATCAGTGATTTACACATGGGATTTACAAATGGAATATGTAGATGTGTTTTAACTATTTGAACTGATTATAACTGGTAAAAAAAAACTACATCACTAAAACACTAAAACTGTAACTTTAACCCCACAAGTGGTGATAAGCTGTTATTTACCCCATAAATGGCTATAAATGTGCTTAATTATCATTCCACAAATGGGGTGACTTACTGACTTATAACTGGTAAAGGGCCATACAGCCAAACTAGTGACACTGGAATGGGATCGTCGCAATGAGAGGCATCAATCAGTCAAACGCCCATGTGAGAAAATGGGAAAACAACATGGGGAGATGGTCATGGTTCAGCCTGGCCGAGCCAAAGTTCGAAAATATCAGAACATGCTATAGTACTTTCAAAATGATATGGGTGAACATGTCACAAAGATCATCGGGGTATACCAAGCCTCAACAGCAAACGTTTGGAATGCTGCCACTCAACTTGGGGATTTTCCGGGTGCTAGGAATCAATGTATGAACTCCCACGGACCCACGACATGAGGTCTGATTGACCTACGTTACTGATCATTACTGGTTGGATGGCTTACCACTGACGTGATGTGTAGTTGGATTCGTTGCCGATTTTTCTGTAGCTATTACCCTCTGGTAATGACTCACAGTTTGCTATTGAAAATGGTCATTTATAGTGGATTTACCCACTAAAAATGGTGATTTTCAACAGCTATGTTAGTTTACCAGAGGGTAATCTGAGTTTACGACTGATGGATCCACAGATGAGAACTGCACAGATGGATATGGATGGGAAGGTAGAAAGAGGCTACCCTGAGTATACAGTAGGCCGTACTTCAAATTACCAAAAAAAACAGTGGCCGACTTAAAACATGTGGGATCCATGAACTGTATATATACTCTCTGGTAATTCAAAGATTGAAATACATGTATCAACGGAAAATCACTTATTTGATTTGTATGGTTGAATTACCCCATGGAACATGGGCATTTTTCAGTGCCAGTTTTGTTGATAGCAGAGGCTAGTCTCAACTCGCAGTGTGAGTCCATTCCATCCCCATGAAGCCATCACACCCCGACAGGCGATGGCCGACAGTTCCAGCAGCTCGCAGATCATCAAATTCAGACCCAACATATCCCAATCCCTGGATGTGCATCCCACTTTGTATGTGGTTTATAAACCATGTGTATATATATATATCCATTTATATATATATATATATATCCATATAAATATATATATATACATATAATTATCTATATCATTCTATATCTATTTATACATATATATATATACATAACCAACATATAACCCCATGTCCCGTTGTTGCAGCTCCCAGCTCGCCCCCACGGTCTCGACTTTGTCGATCTCAGGAAAGGAGTTCTCCCTGCGCCTGGGCCCACTTTGCCAGAGGGCAAGCAGCACCTTGGACAGCGGGATCCCTCCAGGGAACGTAACTAACGTGGCTATGGAAAATTGATGATTTACCGGATTTAAACATGGTATTCTCATGTATTTTCCGTAGCTATGTTAGTTTGAGGGAGGAACTCACTGAGTAGCCTGTTTTTTTGTTATGTCCAATTTCTTAATATTTGACTTACCGATTTGAGAGTTGTGCAGTGATTCAAACGTGCTTGGGTGTTGGTCCAAACAGAAACAATGACAGTATTTGTTGAATCTAGGTGGTGGTTGATATTAATTATAACCCATGTCCATACCCATATTATGTTCACTGGTCAAACATGAATCCTTGGTTATGATGATGGTTGATGATTAATGGTTGTTTAGGTCCTGATTATTGCTGGTTCCCTCTCCATGTCCAATGAATAGGACTTGAAATGACATTTTGCTTGAGGTCGGGTGAACTGAGAACTTGCACGTCGTCGATTGACATTGATACCAAAGAGATCTGGGAAAAACAATGGAAAAAACACATGTTTATTGCAATCAGATCCATAACCTGGTTGGTGGTTTGGAACATGTTTTATTTTCCCACCATACTGGGAATAGTAACCCCGACCGACTAACGTATATTTTTCAGAAGGGTTGGTATACCACCAACCAGTAACTTATCGACTTCGACATTGGCGATCTCAAGATCCAAAAACGGAAAATCTCTGGTTTTTGGCAGATATTGAGCTGTTGAGCATTGCAAGAAATCGACGTTTGTAGATGTCATAGTTAGATATAGAGTTGTAACGTTGTAACTGAAGTCTATGTAGATATTATATGATATTAGTACATGTTGACCAACCATGGTGCGAATTTTCGAATTTTGCCAGAGTTGGTGGGTTTTTCTTCGCCGATATCTCATGGGGTTCCATGCAACTCCATGCCTTGGAGGTACCCTCCGGACAGCAAACATGACAATGGACAATCCCCCGTTGACGATGTTCATCGATGTTCTTTCGAATTCAAAGCTCCATTTCAAACGGGGATGTCCCCATGTTTGATTACTGGTTGGTGGTTTGGAACATGAATGGATTATTTTTCCCATCATATTGGAAATAATCATCATCCCAACTGACGAAGTCATATTTTTCAGAGGGGTGGCGAAAAACCACCAACCAGATTATTATTAACCATATAATAACCATTATAAACAGTATATGATGGTTAAAATTCCCATAATGGTTCACCATAACCACCAATGAATAGAAACTCTCCATCTAACTCCTAGCTTTGGGGTTGACAAAAAGCCACTCTAACCTGCAGCCGAAGATGATCCCCAACACAGAAGTCATGTGTTTTGTTCCCTGAAAGAACATCGATTCATCACTACTTACTGGTGCTTAGTAGGGAATGGATGGGAATGGGGGAATGGGATGATTATTACTAGTGATTATGGATCATTCCCTCATTCCCTGCTAAGCACCAGTAAGACTTAGTAGTAAGACTATGTTGTTTAAACAATGTACGTTCTCATCTTAACTTGTTTTTTGTTGGTATAAACATGTATAAACCATTCCCAAATGGATGGTTTGTTATTGTTTTACCCACATTAGTCAATCTATATACCCTCTGGTAGACGAACATAGCTATAGATAATCACATCAATTTTAATAGGTAAATCAACGATTTCTATGGGGTATGTTCCAGTTCGCAAACTATTAGTCGTTACCAGAGGATATATCCATATTAATCCCATTATCAACCACTATTCACCCATTATCAACCACTATTAATGATTATTA